TATGGCCTGCGCAGAGGGTGGTCCCCTCGCGGTCCGGCCCTTCCGGGACAGACGAGTGGCTCGATTCCACTCGGTTCCGACTAACCAAGTCAGATCACTTCCGAGGCTCCGCCGAGTTTGGTTCGGCTGAGCTCGTTCACAACCCTGTGCCCTCCACCAAAGGATGGACGACGGCGCGCGAGCGCTTTTACAGGTCACCGAGCGCAGAGGCTGCTCAGCTAGAAGTGTTACGGCACCCGGGCTATCCGACGTACCGGCCCGCTGAGTATGCGGGACTTTCTTTCGCGCGTAGCGAGACTTTGTCCTACCCGGACCGACCTAATCTCTTGGCGCTACCAGTCAATAGCCTACAAGCTATGCCTCTCGAGTATTGACGGCAGGCATAATCCCAGCCCTATGCAGGGACTTACCGGAAAAGTGTACACGTGTCTTGCACTAGGAAAACTCTGCTCTGCTTTCCTATCCGTCCCAGGAATTACTCGTCCAGCTTTAGCTTCGAGTGCTTCTGTAGCGAGAGAATCAGCCGCTGCGTTATAGTGTCGCGCTATGTGTCGATACCGGACCGAGTTGAGTTGTTTCGTGAGATCCTTGTGCCGAGCTAGTTCCACTTGCAACGTTTCCTTCTTGCATGCTGGTCAGTCAAGACAATGGTTCAGACTATACGGGTCTACGTAGAAGACCCACTTCAAGCCGACTGGGATGACATCGCCGAGAAGATGGTACACGCTATCAACAACTCAAGAGATTCGACTCGGCGAGAAACCCCTTTCTATCTGGTGCATAGTTGGGACGCCAAGTCTACACTCAAGGCTATGACGAGTTCAATACGACGTGGACAGGGACACCCAGTCAACTCGGCGGACGCAGTCGAGTGGCGCCGAGAAGCGAACAGACAACGAGAAGTGGCACTTCGATTAGCAGCTGAGTTCCAAGTGCGAGAGAAAGCACGACGAGCTCGAGAGCACAACGAAGCGTTGAGCAAGAAGGAGAAAATATCCATTCCCAACACAGCAGATGACGAAGATGAAGTTGCAGAACCAGGCGATGAATCCACCAAATCCTTGTTCAAAGAAGGAGATCAAGTCTGGTTGTTTATGGAGCGAGTCAAGTCGGGCCTGACCAAGAAGTTAGCCCACCGATGGCATGGACCATTCAGGGTGAAGAAGAAGGTGGAAGAATTCGCCTATGAATTGGAGTTACCCGACAAGAATGGATATAGATTCTACCCAGTGGTCCATGTATCACGTCTGAAGGCAGTCACCGAACTCGGCGGAAGACCAAAGACGAGGCTAATCGCCGGACCTCGAAGAGACTCAGCGATTGGACTTTGATGAAGAATTTACTGCCTGAAGACAGCTTGGGAATCAGACACAAGTACAAACCCAGTATGAAGTCGAAAGCAATTCTCGACGATGAGCTACCCATTATCCACAAGTACGTCACGATCACAACGGAAGTTTAAAGTTAAGTGGGTCGGCTACGATGAGCCTACTTGGGAACCACTGTCGAATTTGTCATGTGGGGGTCTCCTGTTTGACTATCTACGACAGAAGAAGCGCGAAAACCGTCTGCAAATGGTGCAAGTTGCAGATGAGGATTAACAGCTATTGCACCGAAAATTACACCAACTCAGCGGACGACACAGGCCGAGTTGAGACGGAATGCTACTGTGTCGAAACTACATATACTGAATAATTACGAAATGAAGTCCTGAACGATACCTACGGGACGCCCAGTCAAAGGAAGAAAACTAAAAAGTCGGCGATCCGGATTCCAAGTGAGTTGAACCCGACGGAGACAACTGGGAAGAGCTCAGCGGACTCGACGATTGGGGGCGTGGCGTCGTAGCAGACGTCATCCCTTGGGAACTTGCGGAAGGAGATGCAACATTCGCAGCCGTGGCAAGAAGTATCATCGCCGAGCTAGCCAACGAAGCTGACGCCGAACCAGGTGCCTCAGGACCCGACGCGGCGGAAGTGGGCTGAGGATCCGTTCCACTGGGGAGTGGGGTGCCGAACGGAGACATACTCGGAGACGCGCCTCGGAGATTGGGAGAACCCAACCCATCGTCCGCCGAGTCGTCATCAGACGCACTCTCGCCATCTGAGCCGAGCTCACCGATCAAAGACCCAGTGAAGATATGGATGCCTTGACGATTCAGCCGAGTTGGAGCACCCGGGGCATAGGCAGGAGGCGCTTGTTCAGCAAGATCGAAATCTTCTTCCGAAGACGCTTGACTAGCTGAGGAACCACACTACGACCAATAATGGAACTCGCCACTGGAGCATCTCGGCGAGGATGGACAATCAACTCTAACCGCGAGTTTCACCAGCCGGGGAGGTGAGAACCTCAGGGAAGCGAGACTCCAAGACACGACACAGCCGGGCGTTGAGGAGAAGGTCGGA